AGTACCAGTTTAGCAAATCCTTAGCTAACCCAGTTTGTAGAAAACAATGCGCTGAATCTGTACAGATCATTTTGTCAGTATGTTGTTTGTGACAGAAATACACTATATTGCCAAAAGTATTTGCTCACCTGCCTTGACTCACATATGAGCTTAAGTGACATCCCGTTCCTAATCCATAGGGTTCAATATGACGTCGGTCCACCCTTTGCAGCTAGAACAGCTTCAACTCTTCTGGGAAGGCTGTCCACAAGGTTTAGGAGTGTGTTTATGGGAATTTTTGACCATTCTTCCAGAAGCGCATTTGTGAGGTTGCACACTGATGTTGGACGAGAAGGCCTGGCTCTCAGTCTCCGCTCTAATTCATCCCAAAGGTGTTCTATCGGGTTGAGGTCAGGACTCTGTGCAGGCCAGTCAAGTTCATCCACACCAGACTCTGTCATCCATGTCTTTATGGACCTTGCTTTGTGCACTGGTGCACAGTCATGTTGGAAGAGGAAGGGGCCAGCTCCAAACTGTTCCCACAAAGTTGGGAGCATGGAATTGTCCAAAATGTCTTGGGATGCTGAAGCATTCAGAGTTCCTTTCACTGGAACTAAGGGGCCAAGCCCAGCTCCTGAAAAACAACCCCACACCATAATCCCCCCTCCAACAAACTTTACACTTGGCACAATGCAGTCAGACAAGTACCGTTCTCCTGGCAACCGCCAAACCCAGACCCGTCCATCAGATTGCCAGATGGAGAAGCGCGATTCGTCACTCCAGAGAACGCGTCTCCACTGCTCTAGAGTCCAGTGGCGGCGTGCTTTACACCACCGCATCCGACGCTTTGCATTGCACTTGGTGATGTATGGCTTGGATGCAGCTGCTCGACCATGGAAACCCATTCCGTGAAGCTCTCTGCGCACTGTTCTTGAGCTAATCTGAAGGCCACATGAAGTTTGGAGGTCTGTAGTGATTGACTCTGCAGAAAGTTGGCGACCTCTTCGCACTATGCGCGTCAGCATCCGCTGACCCCGCTCCGTCAGTTTACGTGGCCTACCACTTCGTGGCTGAGTTGCTGTCGTTCCCAAACACTTCCATTTTCTTATAATACAGCTGACAGTTGACTGTGGAATATTTAGGAGCGAGGAAATTTCACGACTGGATTTGTTGCACAGGTGGCATCCTATCACAGTTCCACGCTGGAATTCACTGAGCTCCTGAGAGCGACCCATTCTTTCACAAATGTTTGTAAAAACAGTCTGCATGCCTAGGTGCTTGAATTTATACACCTGTGGCCATGGAAGTGATTGGAACACCTGATTCCAATAATTTGGATGGGTGAGCAAATACTTTTGGCAATATAGTGTATATATATGTGGTTTTAGGGTTTTTTTAAGCATTATGGCAGGGTTTGGGAATGTATTCATGCAATGTGTGACTCAAAGCTACAAATGACAGAGAAAGATCAACAGCATTTCTAATAAATTGCTACTTGGCAGCAGTAAGAGGCAATTCACCAGTCAATACCCCCCTCACTTTCTCACCTTCCTATTCTTGATCTTTTTGCCTGTTTTTCTACCCCTGGTTGTTTAGCTTTAATCTGTCCTTTCATCTATTCAAAAACTTCGTGACTGCGACCTTTTCTATTTTGCTGCCGCTTTTGTCCAACACAAAAATAATGATCTAGGCTCCCTCTCTCTTCATGGCTGCTTCTCTACAGTGTGTAAGGAGAAATGCATAAGCAGGTGGTTGCCATGTGAACAATATTCTCTGCGCTCTCCCCTCGCTCTGCGCGTGAGCGTGTGACTGACAGCGAACATGTGTAGTGCAGGACGAATAAAGACTTCTAAAGAAAAAGGCCAAGTGTATGGTAATTACTGGGAACGAGAGAAAATCACCAAAGAAAAGTGTTAAGTATCAGCTGACGTTTAAAGCAAAGCAAACATTTTTTTTCTTCCCTGTTTCCCCAGGCATCATTTTATCAATCACACGTTCACCTCTGTCACTTTCAGTTTGTGCCCTGTGCTGCGCTGTCAGTAGCAAATGTGGTAATTATATGTTGAGTACAGTTACGTTATTCTAAAATCTTCCCCCTCTCCTTTGCTAATCTGCTCTGGTCTTTATCTTTGACATCGCTGCATGCCTTTTTCCTGTTTTTCGTTTTTTATGCAACATCCTTTTATAAAACAAAGACCCTGAAAAAGACAGGTAGAAGTACTACTATATATGAACCAATAAAAACCCTCAAACCATAAACCTGAATGATAATGCATCCAGACTAAAAGTGTAAGAAAGGTCTAAAGATCAGACCTTTTTTTAAAAAACATTTAAGCTACTGTAGGTTCTTATAAGTTTATATAAAACTGCTCTGGAGGAAAAAATTGTAAAATTTTACTCAAAAGTAGCACTTCTTTAACATTTTCTACCAGCAAAAGTAAAGAGAAGTCATCCAAAATATTATTTTATGAGTAAGAGTAAAACAGTATTTGGTTAAAAAAAAAAAGCTTCTCCAGTTTTGATCAATTTTTAGATCAACTAATCTGATTTAAATTTTTTAAATTATGTTATCAGACAGATGATTTGTCTATTTTTAAAGACTAAAATATATAAATGACCAATAAGTAACATGATTGCAAAACATTCAGGCAATAGAAAATAAAAGAGCTCTTCTCCAAATCCCCAGTTTGTCCAAGTAGAATAGGGTAACAACAGATCAGTAACTAGTAACTAGCGTCATTTTCATATATTCCAAAAAAAGACTGTTTTTTTTATAGGATGCAAACTATTGGTTCCTCAACATACCAGGAAGTAGAATCGTAATCTCGTAATATTTATTCTATGCTGAGAGGCATAAAAATGTATGTAATTCAGTTGCATTAACTTCCAAGAGTATATTTCACGACTTAAACAGAAACTTTTTTATCACAGGCATGAACGAAGAGACGCTGATTCTGGAAATAGAACAAACCTTTTTTATAGGATCCTGGACTTCCTTATTTAAAGACACACAACAAAAATGTTTAGGCAGAAGCTGCCTTTGTGCTGGATGCTGATGGTGAGTTGTAATTATGTTGTATAGAATTAAGCCTTCATTACGTCGTATTCTGCACCTATGAATTGATAAGTAATATTATTGCACATGCTCTCGTCAAGTTTCAAGGAACTCAGAGCAGAGCAAGACGGGTGGAACCACAGAGGATGTGGGCATTGCTTTGCGGAGGCAGTCTGCCAGTCAGATTCACAACGTCAGACCAAGCTGTGCTCAGAGACACAAAAACCCAATGAGCTCAATCCTGGACTCTACCTCACAGTTCTAAGTTAGATTGGACGGGTTTTCACAGTACAACTGCAAAAGAAAGAGAAATAAGTCTTTACTTGTTTGGAAAGGTTTAAGATAAAAATCCTGTTTTTATTTTTAAAAAGTTATTTACATCATGACAACAAAGGATTTTGTTTTATGTACTAATGTGTCATTCCTTAGCAACATGTTTAGGGATAAAGAACAACTGTGGGGGCGGAGTTCAATCTCTATCTCTTTGCCTCAAAAATGATTAGCCACCGTCGCTAATTTTCAGCAAATTCAATTAGCCACATGCAAAGTTGATTAGCCACAACCCAGATCACAGCGTTGGTTAGAAAATAACCCATTATGGTTTGAACTGACCTGACATGTAATTTAATACAAACTTGCACTTATAATAATACATTCTGCAGAATCAAACCAACTGAAAAAAAAATTTAAAATCGAAATCATGCTCTTTCTTAAGACAATAGTCAACCATATTCAACCACATGCATACATACATATATATACACACATACTGTATATATATACACACCCAAAAAAACAACAACTATTTTCTCACCCCTCATTGGGTGGTATGTGTCATGTTCAAGCTCGGGTCCTCTACCAGAGGCCTGGGAGTTTGAGGGTTCTGCACAGTATCTTATGTATATATGTATATATATATATTTATATATATATACACATATATATACATATATACACACACACATATATACACATATATATACATATATACACACATATATACATATATATATACATATATACACACATATATACATATATACACACACACATATACGGTATATATATATATTAGTTATTTTGTGGTGACATTTATTTTTCCCATCCTGAAAATGACGCTTGACTTCACTGCAACACCTCCCCTTCTGTACATTTGCCACCCATTTTATGACATCACCCTCAAGCCACTGTAGTATGGCATCACAATCATTTACACAGACTGAACAAAGTCCAAAGGCATTTAAGAGCTGAAAAAACATTCTCACAAAAATTTTCTCTAATGCTTAAGTCCCGCTCCCCATCAGCTTCTGCCTCCTGCAGGTCAGCTGGTAGTAAAGACTCTTTATCACAACCATATGAGCCTATTTATTGTCATTAACATGACTTGAAAAGTACATTTATGCTCTAATTAAAAGCAGCTATATCCTGTTCTGAATATCAATCTTTATATGGATGTAAATACATTAAAATTAGGATATTTAAACAGAATATATAAAACTCATTCTGTAAGGCTGCCTTTAACACTAGTTATCAATTCCTTTCAGTTTTTTTTCATTCCTTTCTGCTCATTACGATACTATGTCATGCTATTTTACTCTTCTCATGGTGCTTTCTCCTTGATGTCTGTTTGTTTTGTAATGTTTTACAGCTTCAGACCACAGCACTGTCCCACAGAGATGTTTTTGGACTTGTTAGTTCCACACTGTGAGTCCTTTAAAGGTTGAGTCGACCCATTGTCAGGAGGCCCAGTGTGACATCAATTAACAGGGAAAAAAATCGATCTGCTGAAAGGCTGTGAAGGAATGAGTGCAAACAGTGGAGGGCAGTAACATCTTCTACAGCTTCCATTTGGACTGTTCCATCAGTCCAAACTGCTAAAGCTGTATGGACATCATACTACAGATTGTTGGACATTATGTTCTTTATAAGCAGGTTAAAAAACTAACTCCAAACACTTTGTTCTTACCTTGGCAGCCATGACCATGGAGGACCCCCCTCTGATCCCAAGGATGGGAATGTGTGTCTGAGCAGAGATGAAATCCAGGATCTGAGCAATGGCCTCCTGATCGGTGTCATCACCGAACACTACGCCTTGTAGCGAGTTCCTCGTCATCTGTGCACAGATCCGATTGATGATGCTCTTTGGGTCCGTCTCATTCATGGTGACGACCTCAACTTTAGGGGGATACGGAATGTGGAGGAAATCCTCTTTTTCAAGTCCTGCACCCAGGGTTACTTCACTGGAGTTGCCCACCAGTATGACGGCAATACTGAGAGAGCTGATCAGTTTTGGGCTGATAGGAGGAAGTGCTGGTGACCCCGGAGAGTAATGAGGAGGGATAACGACCCCCCTCTGGTTTCCGCCTCCTCTCTGACCTCCTTGTCCACCTGAGGAACTTCCAGGCCCGGAACCTGGACCCCCACCTCTCCGGGACTCGCAGACGGGCAAGAGTATGGAGAGGAGGAGGAGAGATAAGGCCAAAGAGAGAAATCGCAGGTTGAGCCGGAACTGGGGGCGAGTATGATGGTACAACTGGTCTGAACAGGAAGGAGAGTGTTGAATTGAGGAGGGAGACACCAAACACTTGTCCTGAAGATGGGAGGGAGAAGGGTGGAGGCTGACAAGCATCATGGAGGATTTTAAATGCCGTCCCTGCAGGGAGAGAAGAGAAAGACGTTAAGATCTGGAGAAAACTCTGCTTATCAGTTTTCCACAGTTAATGCAGGGGAAACAGATAGGAATCAAAGCTTGAGCAAATTTAAAAGCTGAATGGATTCCAGCAGGGTTCTGAAAAGTGACACATCACAACATACTGCCCATGCCTCCATGCATTGCAGCATCTTTGGTAGGGATCTCTACGGAGTGCAGTAGGTAGTGGTAACAGTAGTGGTTCTGGTTAACCATATTAGCAGATGCACCAAAGCGAAATAAATCCTATTAGCCTGAAAACATCAGGTGCAAAATGCACTCAGAAGCACTTTCTCTACTCTGACTGTAAGGAAAATATTGGAATATTGACACAAAAATACATTAAGCTTACACCTTATACATCATATATCCTTTACTTTTAAGATGTTTATTTGTAAACACAGCTGATGTTAAGCATAGACAAATACAACCATTGAAACTACTATTGAAAATTAACAATTTTGTTCTATGAGGTAAATATAAAACAGACAATAACTGTGACTCTTGGTTTAGTATCAACCTTCACAGTGAACAGGACTTTATTTCTCAGAGCAACGCTAAATCCATTGTGGGGTGGATGTGTGAGTCAGTTCAGATAGAGATGGGGTAGTACTGGGTGCATTTTGACAGATTGACAGCCTCACAGCGTCATGAACTCGCTGCTGGGCTAAGTGACCATTAGACACTCCAACAGAGCTGCGCTGACTTTCGCACTCATTTTTTTTCTCCGTCCTCCTTTTCTCCCACTTCCACTCTACTTTCACTGCTTTTCTGCCTCAAGAAAAACTGTTGACTTTCATTTCAGCCTCACACTAACAATTGTAACAAATAGGAGCAGCACATCAATGTGCTTGAGAAACATTGAAATTAGAAAGAAGACAATATGAGTGATAAAAGACAGAAAATCTAAATAAGGTGTTGCAGGTCCTGCAGCGTCTTAGGTGCAGAGGTCTATTTTTGTGTCCCACAAACTCTAAGAGTTTGTGGGACACAAAAATATCAAAGCTCTGCAGGATTAAATAATATGTTGATGTATAATAAAGAATAAAGATTTCTATATATATTTCTACAATGTATGATGGTGGAAGCGCATTAGTATAGGACATCTTAATAGCTCAGTATTCCTAATGTTTTCAGAAAAGTTTTGTTTTTGTTTTTTTTTAGTTGTTGATGCAAGGATTGTGGAAAAGTCTTGCCCTTAAATTTGACCAAAATAGATTCTTAGCCCAACTTCAAATTCATTAGATGTTGCTGGTGATTCTAAGGAGTTATTTTTAAGGATTCCTTAAAGGTATAGTGGGGGATGTTCTTTTTCTGGGTGGATCATCAAATTAAGTGGTCCTCCTAATGTCAATCATTCTGGTGATATGTTTACGTGCTCTTACGTGCCCATCCTACGTGCTCGTCCCAATTTTCACTTACAGGTGATGAGTTTGACAAAGTTGAAACATCGCAAATCTTCTTTTGGAACGTAAACTTTTATGGGCGATGCAAACAGCAACGTGCATGAGGAGAAATGGGCTTGTGCATGCTCTCCCATGTATTTAATAGGCGCTCCCTCTCGGGACCAGGTACAGAGTTGTGCATTTGCATTTTTTTGGGGGTGGAGAGGACGGGTCTTTTCAAAAATTTGCCAAGATCCTCCACTATGCCATTAATGTAATAAAATGGGGCAGGCCTGTTATAGTCTAAGGCACATCTCACATAGGAGGCTTAATTTTGCCAACAGTGAATTGTTTAGAATACTCTAATTACTTTTTGTTTTAAATAGCAACTAATGACAGACCTTGTGACATTTTCCATTATTGAAGATTTTGAAATGGCAATGAGAGGTACAACTCTCTCTGTAGTCTTTCCTCAGAGAGCAGCCTGCTGTGAGATCCTCCCACCTCCAAAGCTCCGACAGGGGGTAGTCTCAGCACCTCATCATGCAGCAAAACCTGCCTGCAATCAACCAACTCCAGTTTGTTTCCCAATTGAAAATGAGTCATGCATGAGCAAATCTGCAGCTGATCGGGCCCTGGATTACAAAGCAGGATGCAAATACAATGTCCATTATTATTATTTTTTTCCTCCAAAACTGAAAATAATTCCTGCATTTGGCCGACAAAGTCCAAGTCACTCATTCACCATGTTCACAGGGCGCGCCTAAGATAAATGCCTTTTGGTTAAACTTGAAAAAAGGTAGTGATGTAGTTTGGATCTTGGCAAAACATGAATGATTAATAAAGATTATTGCCATGAATTTAGAGTAGACAACAGATTTAGTTTTTAATGAATTTCTGTTAGGCAACATTGTCATCTCGTAACTTCTAGCTACTTTAAGGGCATCCAAAAGTAACTTTCCTTGCTGACAAGTTGAACTCAGTGAGGGTTCAAGTTTAGACTCAACTTTATTTCACAAGAGCTCTAGAGCAGGCATCCCCAAACTCAGTCCTGGAGGGCCGCTGTCCTGCAGGTTTTAGATGTTTCTCTGCTCCAGCACAGCTGATTTTAATTGATAGTTGATTAACAGGCTTTTGCTTTACTGCAATCATTATAATCAGCTGTGCTAAAGCAGGGAAACCTCTAAAACCTGCAGGACAGCGGCCCTCGAGGACCGAGTTTGGGGATGCCTGCTCTAGAGTAACTACAGACATTTATCCAACTTAAGTTAGCCGACAGCTGTCTGTAAGACCTCCTAAAAACAGCACAAAAGGTGGGCCTGCCCATCCTGTTCACATTTGATTGAGAACATCTTTTGAAAACCTAAATGTTAAAATTTAGGTTAAAAGTCCAAAATGAAATATTTTAAAGGTGCAACATTTTGTATTACTTATGAAAAAAACTGTTAAACCTGCAATGATAAAACTCAAGGCAAACTCAAGCCAGCAAGAGAAGTAAAAAAATCCAATCAATCAAAAAAAAGGAACATTTGTATAATACATAAACATTCTCAAAAAAAGTACAAACAATAGTTTTAAGGAGTTTCTGATGAAAAGTATCAGTTAGTGATGACTTCTTGGAGGTATCTGTAAAGCAACGTTTTAAACCCCGTGTCAGTTTACTGTTTTGCAGGGCTGCTCAAAATAAGAAAAAACATTGCAAAGTTGATATACAATATAGTTATCTCACTTTATTTTTACTTCTATATAACACAAAATCTTCACCCCTTGTCTCAACATCTCAGACACTACAACAACGTAAAATATTTGACATCCGTCCAAATATTACAAATATTCCTTTACATTTGCAATATTGCATATAATATGCATTGAATTGTTTTGTTTTAACAAGAAAAAGACAGAAACCATGAAAGGGTTATGAATGCTTTTGCAAGGCTGTCCTGCATGTTGTGTTCATACCAAGGAGTCCTCTCAATCAAGGTGAAATTAAAATCCAAATTCATTGCCCTCCACTATAATAGCCACCCCCTCCTAACCTCTTAGATCCATATGATGATCCTTGAAGACGATTGATAACCTCTTATTTCCCATTAAGATAAGTATTAACAGCTCATCGCTGAGTACAGGAAAGTGGAGAAGAGAAGGGAAAAAAACATGGAGGAAGAACAGAGGATAAAGATGAAAATATTCAAGCATGGAGAGCTGAAAAGCAGAGAGAAATACAATTAGTCATAACCTGATGCAAAAGATAACAGGGGAGAAACAGATTTGGGTATGTTTCCTGCTGAGAAACGGATAAGAAATGAGAGTAAGTTCCTGCTCACTTTCTAAATTAAGAGTGGGGCATTTGAGCAAAGCGGTAAATAAAAGGCAGATGAAGAGGCTTGTCCCTCTTTGATTTCCAGAGATAATCCACCTATTCAAAGTTCTAAAAACCCAAGTGGCAAAAAGGAAAAGTTTTGATGGAAGTAAAAGAAAAAATTGTGGGAAAAGGGGTGAGAGGAGGCCGATAAGAGTGGAGGAGACCTGATCTCCACATGAAAAAACACAGTCTCTCAAAACGGTCTAATTACTAGTGGTTTGTCAGGCTTAATTGCAGGTGCACATGCTAATTGTAAACGAGCCGAGTTCTCCGTGAGGACAGCAAAGAAGAAGAATAAGAAAAGGCGCTAAGGAGGAGGAAGCGAGTGGGAGGAAGGCAGCAGAGAAAAGAGAAGAGGAGAGCGAAGAATAAATAGAGACATACACAAAAGAGATGGAGGTGGAGGAAAGAACAGCAATAAGGAAGCCAGAGAAGCGAAGGGAGGGAGAGCAAGAGGCAGGAGGTGTGGGGACGAAATGCAAGAAGAAAAGACGAAAAGAAAAAATTATTAGTACGAGAGGAGGGAGAAAAAAGGGTAGAGAGGAGGTTAAAAGAGAAGGAACGCAGGGGAATGGTGAAAAAGGCCTCAATCCATGATGTTGATGAATAAAAAGCGAGCTGATGATCCACTCAGAGAGAGAGGAGCGGAGGGAAACTGTTCATAAAAAAATCTTTTAAAATCAGGCAAGAAGTGTGACAGCAGACGAGGCAGCAGAGAAAGGCTCATCAGGATAAAACAGCAGTGCTTGGTTTCCATAGTAACACTTCAAATATGCCTCCATATAAACACCCTGATGGACAGGAGGATGCACACAGCTCAACTCCTGCGGCTAACAACGCGACTTCTCCTAAACAGCAACACAACGTCCGCTTCTGACCAGGGCGGCGTGTGGTGTCAGCTCCCCTCTGCACAAACACGCAGCCTTGTTACATGAGATAAATACAACAGGCAGGCGCACGGACACCCACGTACACATGTGTAAGCTGGGTTAATGCACTCCTGCAGATGGAGATGAGCTCTGTCTTTTGGTGTACTTCACATTAAAAATTCATCCATAAACCCAGCTACAGGCATATAAACAGCAGCAACACAATACAAGGAGCTGCTCAGAACACCGACAGCACTCATGGTTTAATGGCATTTCAATGCGTGGCGTCAAGGGTGGATTATTTACTCCTGGAAAACGGAATCCAGGCTAGTGCGTGAACGTATGTGC